GATTGATGTATATTATATGGTTGGTGTTTATTGTATGGTTGATGTATATTGTATGGTTGGTGTATATTGTATGGTTGATGTATATTATATGGTTGATGTATATTATATGGTTGATGTATATTATATGGTTGGTGTATATTGTATGGTTGGTGTATATTGTATGGTTGGTGTATATTGTATGGTTGGTGTATATTGTATGGTTGGTGTATATTGCATGATTGATGTATATTATATGGTTGGTGTATATTATATGGTTGATGTATATTATATGGTTGATGTATATTGTATGGTTGGTGTATATTGTATGGTTGGTGTTTATTGTATGGTTGATGTATATTGTATGGTTGATGTATATTATATGATTGATGTATATTGTATGGTTGGTGTATATTGTATGGTTGGTGTTTATTGTATGGTTGATGTATATTATATGGTTGGTGTATATTGTATGGTTGATGTATATTGATTTGGTTGGTGTATATTGTATGGTTGGTGTTTATTGTATGGTTGATGTATATTATATGGTTGGTGTATATTGTATGGTTGATGTATATTATATGGTTGATGTTTATTGTATGGTTGATGTATATTATATGGTTGGTGTATATTGTATGGTTGATGTATATTGATTTGGTTGTATATTGTATGGTTGGTGTTTATTGTATGGTTGATGTATATTATGTTGGTTGGTGTATATTGTATGGTTGATGTATATTATATGGTTGATGTATAATGTATTGTTGGTGTATAATGTATGGTTGATGTATATTGTATGGTTAATGTATATTGTATGGTTAATGTATATTGTATGCTTGATGTATATTATATGGTTGGTGTATATTGTATGGTTGGTGTATATTGTATGGTTGGTGTATATTGTATGCTTGGTGTATATTGTATGGTTGGTGTATATTGTATGGTTGGTGTATATTGTATGGTTGGTGTATATTGTCTGGTTGTATATTGTATGGTTGGTGTATATTGTATAGTTGATGTATATTGTATGGTTGATGTATATTGTATGATTGATGTATATTATATGGTTGATGTATATTGTATGGTTGATGTATATTGTATGGTTGGTGTATATTGTATGGTTGGTGTATATTGTATGGTTGGTGTATATTGTATGGTTGGTGTATATTGTATGGTTGATGTATATTATATGGTTGATGTATATTGTATGGTTGGTGTATATTGTATGGTTGATGTATATTATATGGTTGATGTATATTGTATGGTTGGTGTATATTGTATGGTTGGTGTTTATTGTATGGTTGATGTATATTATAGGTTATGTATATTGTGTTGGTGTATATTGTATGGTTGATGTATATTATATGGTTGATGTATATTATATGGTTGATGTATATTGTATGGTTGGTGTATATTGTATGGTTGGTGTTTATTGTATGGTTGATGTATATTATATGGTTGGTGTATATTGTATGTTGATGTATATTGTGGTTGATGGAATGTATGTGTATATTGTATGGTTGATGTATATTATATGGTTGGATGTATATTATATGGTTGATGTATATTATATGGTTTGTATGGTTGGTGTATTGTATGGTTGGTGTATATTGTATGGTTGATGTATATTATATGGTTGGTGTATATTGTATGGTTGATGTATATTGTATGGTTGATGTATGTATGGTTGATGTATATTGTATGGTTGGTATATTGTGGTTAATTTATATGTTTATGTATATCGTTTGTCTATGCATATTGAACGAAGGCGTATGTAAAGTGATGTAATGTAATGAGATGAATAGGAGAATTGACACTGATTAGACAGGTAACACTGATTGGGACAAGCAACACTGATTGGTTGACGTAACACTAATTGGGACATGCAACACTGATTAGGACAGGTAACACTGATTGGGACATGCAACACTGATTAGGGTCAGGTAACTAATTAGGACAGGTAACACTGATTAGGACATGCAACACTGATTAGGACATGCAACACTGATTAGGTACGGTCAGGTAAATGGATCACTTCGTCTCAATTTACAGGAGAAATTTTATCCCAGTCTGTATTTTCCGTCGTGGTTATAATATACTGCCTGACAGACACACACTGAGGTCATTATAAAGCAGAGAAAGATGAAGGCTGACTCTAGAGAAATGGGAAAAAAGGAAGAGAAATAGAGAAAAGGGAAAGTTAGAAGAGAAATAGAGAGATTTAGGACACAATAAAACCTCCCTCCCACACCTCTCTCTCTTCTCACTTTCCAGACTATCATACACGATTCTCCGCCTCCCACTCACCATCATGACCCCCTCGTCGGCGGCTCCTGCACCAAACTAACCGAGCTGTAAAACCAACTAACATATTCCCGATGAAAGTTGATGCATACATGTAATTTCTTCATTAGGAAAGTTGAGGCCATGGATGCATAATAGTGGAGGTATTCTTGGTTAAGTGCATCACCAGATATAGGCTTTGTCCTGGATACCTCTACACCTTCACCCATGCCTGAAACACGAGGCGACAGAGCCAGGTGACCCAGATCCTTCCTTGACCCGGTGTCAGGGGTTACGTGGCCTTGTGGTGTTACCGTCTAGTGGCCTCGTTAATTCTCAGTCTGGTTCTACTGCAGATCTCCCTTGATAGATGTGGGACTGAGTCGCACAAGTTAAACTTTTTTTTAATATTATCTCAGACTATTTTATTATCTATTAAGTGCTTCTTCACTATTACTATATTTAGTGATTATCACGTTTTACAACATTTACACCAACGCGCCCAATGCCTTCCAACCGAGAGTTGAAATAAAAGTAATTTCAATACCTCACTTCCCTTCTACTGGCAGCATACTACATCTTCTACTTAAAAAATTTCACCACATCTTTCCTAACACAATTTTGTCTTAATACGGCTCATGTTAGAGTCCAGTATCTATGTGGACGAAATTCCTCAGAAAAACCCATCTTGGATCACGACACAGATAGTCATAGTTCAAGACAGCACTCAGTTTATATTGAGGATCCGTGTACAGGAAAATTACTGGGATCTGAATCTTTCTCTATCACTCTCAAAAACCCCCAACAACTTCATTTCTCGACTGAGTTTCCTTAAACAGTCGAATACTTCACTTGATCGGTGCCTCTACCGGAAATAATTGTGATGGAAGACTTCACTGGTCACCTCTTAACACTGTCCACATCTACCTTAACACATCTTCCTGGGACTACCACATGCTACCTCGCATTCATGACTCACCTGACGTACAATCAGTCACAGATGTAAATCGAATCCCCAATAATCCATATGAGGGAACTGACTTAAGTTCCTTTTCTGCTTTTCCTAAAAGGCATTTATTTCTACCAATCTTCTTCCACTGTGTAAATCAGATAAAAATATCGCATCGTGTTATATTTTCAGTTACCATGATCCCTCTACCTGTGGCGGTGCTCATGGCGGGTGTGGGAGCATAATGAACCTTGTCCCAGTGCAGTCTGCATTTCACTGTTATGAATTATGGTTTGATTCAGTATATTTATTATCAGTCCAAAGATGAAGCATGTGGTGAATGGAGAGACTATTTTATTTCAGTACTATCACATTCTTCGTAGTCTCTATCAAAAATCAGGTGAACTACAGTAACATGTAATTAGTCGGTGTCATTTTGTTGTAACTTATTTCAGAGCAAAACGGTGATGTCTAACTTCCCAAAACATCTATCATCAGACTCTAAACACGATTTTTCTAAAGGGTACCGTGAAAAACAATTCCATCTAGCTCTTCAACATGTCTGTTGTGTTTGGTTACAGAGGATCTATCTCAAAATAGCAGTTAGTCTTATTTTTCTCCTGTGTCTGTGCCTGTGGTCGTGTAGTCACCCACACTAAACAAAGCTACACATTTTATTTCTTTACCTTCAAACACTTCAAACAGATAATTTTGATATTCTTGTTCCTTACGTCAAATATATTTTGTTTGTCTTTTTCTTTTGTGAAGGTAACACGTTAAACTATATCTATTTTTCTGTCTCTACTCTAGTTTTATAATTTTCACCACGTACCTCTTCTCCTGTTTGTTTACATTCAGTACATTCTTATGCTCTTTCAGTCACCTCCCTCACTATTTCATTCCTCCGTTCACTGCCGTCCCTCTCACTCCTCCTCCCGGGCCGTGTACCCTACCAGCAGCGGCAGCAGGTGGAGGTGAGGCCAGGCTTCAACACCAGCCCGGCCACAATTGAAAAATAAATATCGTGGTTTTCTCTCCTTCCCTTGACCTTTCAGTCTCCTTTTGTTGGTAGAGAAGTCTTTGCCAGACTCCCTTGTTGAGTGTTTTTGTCTGCAACACTGCAAAGTCATAAAATGCACCTGTGCTATTCTAATATGCATTTTTTGTGGTCTGCAACAAGCAGACTTTTCTTATTTGTAGAGACGAATGACGTCACAAGCTAGTCTGACTGATGTGAACTTTATATTTGAGATTCACTAAATGTTTTTCATTGATGCGCTCATATACCTACTTTAATTTATTGTTAAAGCGTCGTTCATTAAGTTTTTCTAGTCACAGGATATTGTTGTTTTCAGGTACATTAATTTAATTTTGATGCCGAAACTTGATTTGTTGAAAAAGTTTATCTTTTTATTTTATTCAAGTTAATTTTAAGACTGTCTTAACTAAACTCTACCGCCTGCCCCCATAGAGGGAGATCTACCTTATAAGCAGCCCCCATCAACCACTAACACCTTACACTGCTCCCCACACACACACCTCTGTACACCCTAATGCTCCAGAAACCAGCTTAAACTACAACCGACTCCATCATTTTCTTCTTCGCCGCGCACTGAGACAATTCCCTACATCAGAAACCTCCTTCAACGCACATCAGCCACACTATACACTCCAAACAAACCATCCAACACCACATCAACCCTACCCACAGATAACGGACTCAAAACAACAGCTCTCCAAAAGAAAACGACCTTCCCACTCATTCCTCTTCTCCTTCTTGTGCCCCCTACAGATGGAGACCCCGCCGTGGCCTTGGAGGTGGCCCCCGCCACCACAACCTAAACCAGAGAGGGGTGTCGTGGGCGTCAGGAGGAGGAAGGAAGGAGGGTGGTGGTGGGTCAGCTGAGGATGGCGGCATTGTGGTCATGATGAGTCAGAGGCACATGGACGCCCCACGACGCGATCCTCACAGTGCCGTGCCCACCACGGCGTCATCTGTGTGCTAGGTGTGTAGGGGATGGGGTGATGCTGTGTGTGTGAAGGGGAAGGGTGGTGATGATGTAGTGTGTGTAGGGGAAGGGGGGTGATGGTAGTGTGTGAAGGGTGGTGGCTGTAGTGTGTAGGGGAAGGGGTGGTGCTGTAGTGTGTGTAGGGGGAAGGTGGTGATGCTGTGTGGGTGGGGGGTGATGCTGTGTGTGAAGGGAAGGTGGTGATGCTGTAGTGTGTGAAGGGGAAGGGGTGGATGAGGGTGTGTAGGGGGGGAAGGTGGTGATGCTGTAGTGTGTGTGGGGAAGGGGTGTGGTGCTGTAGTGTGTGTAGGGGAAGGGTGGGTTGCTGTAGTGTGTGTAGGGGAAGGGGTGGTGGTGCTGTAGTGTGTGTAGGGGAAGGGGTGGTGTGCTGTAGTGGTGAGGGGAAGGGGTGGTGGTGCCGTGTGTGTAGGGGAAGGGGTGGTGGTGTGCTGTAGTGGGGGAAGGGTGGTGATGCTGTATGTGTGTGGGGGAAGGGGTGGTGATGCTGTGAGTGTGTGGGGGGGAAGGTGTGTGTGTGGGGAAGGGGTGGTGGTGCTGTAGTGTGTGGGGGAAGGGGTGGTGTGGTGTGGGGGGTGGTGGGATGCTGTAGTGTGTGAAGGGGAAGGTGGTGATGCTGTAGTGTGTAGGGGAAGGGGTGGTGGTGCTGTAGTGTGTGTAGGGGATGGGTGGTGGTGCTGTAGTGTGAGGGAAGGTGGTGATGTGTGAGGGGTGTGGGGAGGGGTGCTGTAGTGTGTGTAGGGGAAGGGTGGTGGTGCTGTAGTGTGTGTAGGGGAAGGGGTGGTGATGCTGTAGTGTGTGTAGGGGAAGGTGGTGGTGCTGTAGTGTGTGTAGGGGAAGGGGTGGTGATGCTGTGAGTGTGTGCAGGGGAAGGGGTGGTGGTGCTGTAGTGTGTAGGGGAAGGTGGTGGTGCTGTAGTGTGTGTAGGGGAAGGTGGTGATGCTGTAGTGTGTGTAGGGGAAGGTGGTGATGCTGTAGTGTGTGTAGGGGAAGGGGTGGTGGTGCTGTAGTGTGTGGGGGAAGGGGTGGTGGTGCTGTGTGTAGGGGGAAGGGGTGGTGTTGCTGTGTGTGCAGGGGGAAGGGTGGTGGTGCTGGTAGTGTGTGTGGGGAAGGGGTGTGATGCTGTAGTGTGTGTAGGGGAAGGGGTGGTGGTGCTGTAGTGTGTGTAGGGGGGTGGTGGTGCTGTGTGTGTAGGGGAAGGGGTGGTGGTGCTAGGTGTGTGTAGGGGAAGGGGTGGTGATGCGTGTGGGGGGGGTGCTGTAGTGTGTGTAGGGAAGGGTGGTGATGGGGTGTGTGCGGGGAAGGTGGTGGTGCAGTGTGTGTGAGGGAAGGGGTGGTGGTGCTAGTGTGTGTAGGGGAGGGTGGTGATGTGTAGTGTGTGTAGGGGAGGTGGGCTAGTGTGTGTGGGGAGGGGTGGTGATGCTGGGTGTGTGCAGGGGAAGGTGGTGGTGCTGTAGTGTGTGTGGGGAAGGGGTGGTGGTGTTGCGGTGTGGGGAAGGGGTGGTGGTGCTGTAGTGTGTGTAGGGGAAGGGTGGGTGATGCTGTAGTGTGTGTAGGGGAAGGGGAGGATGCTGTAGTCTGTGCAGGGGAAGGGGTGGTGGCTGTAGTGTGTGTAGGGGAAGGGGTGGTGGTGCTGTGGTGTGTGTAGGGGAAGGTGGTGGTGCTGTACTGTGCAGGGGAAGTGGGGTGGTGGCTGTAGTGTGTAGGGGAAGGTGGTGATGCTGTAGTGTGTAGGGGAAGGTGGTGGGCTGTAGTGTGTGTGTAGGGGAAGGTGGTGGTGCTGTAGTGTGTGTGGGGAAGGGTGGTGATGCTGTAGTGTGTGCAGGGGGAAGGGGTGGTGCTGTAGTGTGTGTGGGGAAGGGGTGGTGATGCTGTGTGTGTGTGCAGGGGAAGGGGTGGTGGTGCTGTAGTGTGTGTAGGGGAAGGGGTGGTGGTGCTGTAGTGTGTGTAGGGGAAGGGGTGGTGATGCTGTAGTGTGTGTAGGGGAAGGGGTGGTGGTGCTGTAGTGTGTGGGGGAAGGGGTGGTGGTGCTGTAGTGTGTGTAGGGGAAGGTGGTGATGCTGTAGTGTGTGCAGGGGAAGGGGTGGTGGTGCTGTAGTGTGTGTAGGGGAAGGTGGTGGTGCTAGTGTGTGTAGGGGAAGGTGGTGATGCTGTAGTGTGTGTAGAGGGAAGGTGGTGGATGCTGTAGTGTGTGTAGAGGGAAGGGGTGGTGATGCTGTAGTGTGTGTAGGGATGAGGTGGTGATGCTGTAGTGTGTGTAGGGGAAGGGGTGTGGATGATGTAGTGTGTGTAGGGGAAGGTGGTGATGCTGTAGTGTGTGTGTAGGGGAAGGGTGGTGATGTAGTGTGTGTAGGGGAAGGGGTGGTGGTGTAGTGGTGTAGGGGAAGGTGGTGATGCTGTAGTGTGTGAGGGGAAGGGGTGGTGGTGCTGTAGTGTGTGTAGGGGAAGGTGGTGCTGTAGTGTGTGTAGGGGGAAGGGGTGGTGATGCTGTAGTGTGTGTAGGGGGAAGGGGTGGTGGTGCTGAGAGAGAGAGAGAGAGAGAGTGAAGAGTTAATTGACTAACACAGGGGTATGGGTGTAACAGTAAAAGGACACACGGTATCAAGTTAAAAATTTTAACGAAAACCAAATATACTCTACTTGACATCGTCTTATAAATAAACATCACAGGAGCTATAAACAGCCACAACCTCACAAGGCAGACATTTATGCAGGTAAGTCAATATTAACATCTGATTAAGTCAAGGAGAACAAAAATACCTTTAAGATCTTTAATTCATTGACGCCAAACACCGAGATTCCCAACGTTTAATTAAACATCAAAGTTGACTTGATTTTTATACAGATAGTTTTACAGACATGGAATTTGGGATCGTCTTAATTTTGGTGGTAATATGTGGAGCATCATCTGCAGCACTTGTTCCAAGAATAGTGAATATTTTTCTTCTATTTGTTGGTAGTAGTAGTAGTAGCAAATGCTGTCCATTTCGAGAAAATAACAGGAGAGATGGTGTGGAAAAAGGCACTGAAGACTCGAGGAGGAGCCGGCCCTTCAGGTCTGGATGCAAATGGTTGGAGAGTCATCATCAGCACAAACAAGTTTGGCCCTGTAGCAAGCGATCTCTGCACTGCCATTGCCACCCTTGCAAGAAAGCTTGCATCCTCTTGCTGCCACCACCTCCAGGCCCTGATGGCCTGCCGCCTTATTCCTCTGGAAAAGAAACCAGGATGTAGACCTATAGGGGTGGGGGAAGTGCTGAGGCGGATCATCGGAAAGTGCATAATGGAGGTGGTAAAGGATGATGTCAGGGCAGCAGCAGGGAACCTACAAGTGTGTGCTGGCCACCAGGCTGGTGGGGAGGCGGCCATTCACGCCATGAGATTGATATTTGAGCAGCGTGATTGTGAGGCCGTTCTCCTGGTGGATGCTTCAAACGCATTCAACATACTTAACCGCAAGGCTGCACTGCACAACATCAAGATCAAGTGTCCTAGCTTTGCGATGTATGTTGAAAATTCGTATAGGAATCCTTCAGACCTCTACATAGTAAACAACAAGGCTCTACGAGGTGATACCATCTTACAGTCAACCGAGGGAACAACACAGGGATACCCCGTTGCAATGGCAATGTATGCAATTGGCCTATCAGTAGTAGTAGTAGTAGTAGTAGTAGTAGTAGTAGCAGTAATGATAACGATAATAATAATAGTAGTAGTAGTAGTAGCATTAAAATTAGTTGTAACTGACATCTGTATTTATTGTTGTTATTGGTGTCGCCCTGTTAATAACAACAGCGGTAGAAACGGTAACACCAACTGCACTAAATATACAGCCAAACCTTGCAAGTCACGCGCTCAATGTTTGGGTCTGTCAGCTGATCGGTGTGAGTTGCCAAACAGGAACTTGTGATGATTCTCGGTTGTCATGGTGATATTTGTCGTACTCTGGGGCATGGGACACTCACCCATTCCCCCCACCACCTCGCACCTTTAGTGTTTGCTCCACCCACCGTTATTGTTGTTTACATAATCTCCGCATTTTCACATCATTCAACAACTTTTGTCCCTAAAAACAGTTTAATTTTTTTTCAGTTTGTTATTATTCTAAATTACTGTAGAAAAGTTTTTTGTTCATTACATGTTTACGCTATTGTTGGCTTCATGTTCATCGCACTGCTGCTTTCTTGTGTTGACTAAGAACGGTCTCCAATACTAATGGTTCAGGTACGTTAGGTCGAGTTTGGGGCCCTTTTAGGACTCGATACAGTGGTAGTGGAGTGGTTATCGTATTGAGCCGGCGGTCCATTGGTCGCTGATTCAAACCCCCATTGAAGAGGCAACGTGTGATATCCGGCTTGTAGTGAAACCCCCATTTGGCTCACATATATCCAGAAGTAAACACTGGATCAACACAAAAGATTACCAACATTTAATTCAATCTGGGTATTGTTTTCTGTCTCATGAATTTCTGGTGTACAACGCCAGGCCCTCGTAGCTGAAGAGGGACACGGGATGTGGTCTCTGTCTTGTTTCTAAGTTATCCCGCCGAGTGTTTTCTAACTACGTTTTACTGGTTTCTAATTGAATTTAACCCCCTGTCCTTTTGCTCTGGCATGGTTTCTAGGTTTCTGTGTAAAGTGTCTCATATCTAGGCTTCACTGGTTATTGAAATGTTTTCTGCCCTGGTGTGCTTCTTAAGTTTCTAAGAAAGTATATATGGTTTTTAATCTAGGTTTCCTTGGTTTTTAAAATTAGCGTCTGACAAAATACATCCTGTTTCTCAAAAAAAAATTCCTTGTGTCTAAAATAGGCATCATAGGTTTCTAAAACTGTTTCTCTGGTTTCTAACTCCCCACAGGTGCGGTGTGTGGCGTGGTTGGGTTCCTCATCATCAACGTGACGGTGGTGATGGTGTGAGGCAATACTCACAGGCGGGCACGGAGACGGCGACTACTGGAACTACAGTGAGTGTGTGTGTGTGTGTGTGTGTGTACTGGAATTACATTGAGTGCGTGAGTGTACTGAGTGTACGTGTCAGAGAGAGAGAGAGAGAGAGAGAGAGAGGCATAACCTAACCTAACCTATATATCAACAGCATCACATAACCTTCACAAACACACATATATTCCTATCACCAAAGCCTTATCACACACACCTCACAAACCCACTCAAATCCCCTCTCACACACTATCACCCACCCACCCACCCACTCACTTACTCCCTCCCTCCCACCCACCTACCCATTAACCCTCTCCTCCCCACCTAGCAACCCATTCTCTCCTACCTTACCCACCCATCCACTCACTCACCCAATCCTACCCACCCACTCACTCATTCACCTAATCCACCCACCCACCCAATTTTCCTTTCCCTCTCCCCTGTACTGAAACAAAACACTTTATTCCATCACGTCCATAAAAACTCGGGAACACAATCAAGAAACCAGCACCGTATATATCATCGTTCCCAACATTTTCAATCTTAATCTACATTTTTACCCTATAAATTTCTCTGTATTTTCCAAAGCTCTGTATATCTTAATCATAATAGTATGTTGATCTTCGTTATCCCACTGAGAATGAGAGAGAGAGAGAGAGAGAGAGAGAGAGAGAGAGAGAGCAAACATCATACTGTATATTCACCTCATCTGAATAATAACAGCATAAGTGAGGCTGTACCCGAGGTCATGTTACAGTGTATAATAATAATAATAATAATAATAATAATAATAATAATAATAATAATAATAATAATAATAATAATAATAATAATAATAATAATAATAATAATAATAATAATAATAATAATAATAATAATAATGTCTCCTCCCATTCTGCCCCCCCGACAGACTGGAGCAACATGGCGGGTATCTCTACAACTTCGAGGAGCTGATGGCCGACTACAACCAGCAGATCAACGCTGGCAACTCTTAGATCAGGCTCTCTATATCACTGTGAGAACGTGACTTTGCCCTAAGGAATCTATATGAGGCTTTGTGAGACCTCTTTGGTGAGAGTATGTGAAATTTTGTGAGTTTGTAAGCTTTCACACGGCTCTTTGGAAGACTTTTAGAGAGTTTCATACGATTTGATGACTCTCTGTGAGGCTCTGTGTCCCTTGTTTTTGAGCCTTAAGATGGATTATTTTTTGAAGACTTAAGACTACCATTGCACTCTTTAAGGCTTTATAAGGCTTTTACACCTGTAGAAATATATGAGACTGATAAGTTTATGAAGTTTAAACAGAACTTTATGTATCCCTGAGTGTTCTTCACCGCCACGTGAATACGAGAGAGAGAGAGAGAGAGAGAGAGAAACAAGAAATGTGAGAGTTGCGTTCTTTTAAGCAAATTGTGAACGCATTCTCAGGTGAGGTGAACAATGAGTAAGCAGTTGCGTTTTCTCAGGTTGTTTTGTGAGTGTTCTCAGTATTGTGGTGTTCTACTCAGGGTGTTAGTCGCACGCAGCTTATAGGAGTGGTTTTTTTTTCTTTTGTGGAAGCATTACGAAAACTTCTATTAGTTTTTCCCCTTTGTGGGGGAAATTTTCTGAAAACGTTTTCAGGGAAGTGTTTTTTCTCTGGGGGTAATTCCTGAAAGTATTTTTGTTTTGTTTTTCCCTGAGAACGCTATCGGGAAACGTTTTCGAGAGCTTGTAAATAACTCATTCTCAAAACAAGTCTGTCTATTTTGTGGGAGCATTTTTTGAGTTGTTCTCTCGGCTAATTTTTTCTCCATCTTTCCGGGAGTGAACTGTGAGGTTGAGCTATGACTCACACGAGTGGTTGTCTAAAGACAGTGTATATACTTAACAGGTAAAGCAGAGGACTGACTACTCAGTACAAAATGGTGTAAACTACCACTACCACTACGTGTGGTTTATAGAGAAAAAACTTATGGAACAACCAAAACTTTAGGAAATAACGCTATAAATTTGAAGAAAAAAAACATGGTGTTTCGAGATAAGTGAGGTAAGCTAAAATATATTTGATAACAATAAGAATGATAATGTACAAAAGACTCGCTTCATTCTGAATAACGCAACAAGAAAAAAACACTGATTATTTCTGGTCTTAGTAAAGGTTGACAAATGGTGTAACAGATCTGTAACAGAAAATATCAACACTACAAGACGAGTTTTCGTAAACGAAGAAAAAATGAAAAAGTATTCTGAAAATCAGGCCACAAAAGACAAACAATTCCAAGAAATCAAATCACTGTGTCGCAGATGTACTCCCTGTTGGCGAAATCTAAATTGACAAAGTATTAGATATTTGAGTGTGAAGAATACGAAGAAAAAATAGAAAAACCAGCTCTCCGGATTGGCAATTTGAGTCGAATTTACCCGACGATCTTCTTGGTGGATGTCTCCTGGTTTGGATTGAATTTTGCTTTTCCTTCACTTGCGAACTTTAAACCAGTGTGGAGATTGAATCCCCCAGACGATACAATAAAGACGTGTGTGTCGGGGCCTCACCAGCTGGTAATGTGATTGTTGTTATTGTTGTGATCAGCTGACGCCACAGTTGCCATGAGTCGACATTAAGACAATATTCACGATGACTTTGAGTAGTGACATATTGAATCATTGAGTTGATGGATGTTTATGAGAGATAAAAACACTTACACAGACAAAATATGCAGTAAAATCAAAATGGCGACTTCTCTCTTGCTTGGAAATTAAGGAATTGAAGAAGTTGAAAGAAAATGTGGGAGTGAAATGTTATTACAAATTGCAGGAAGGAAGGAAATGATCTGAGGTTTGACTTACACATTTTGAAGACATTGCAATTACAGCAAGTAGCAAAACAAAAATCAAGCGAATCAAAAGGCACTTCAGGTCAAATGAAGAAAGATGAAACACATGCTGGACGATTTAAAAGGTTTTTGTACGAGACCTTCGACGTTTCTTGACAGTCCCAAGTGACTGTAAAGAAACTGATCGTTCAACCTCAAGAAGAATCAAACATTAATGAAAAGATGTATATTTACTGAGTTTTTATGAGATATTTGATATGTAATGTATTTTGTCGTACAAGTGGATGTCCGGTGGACCGTTGATGTATAACTTCTTTTAACCTTGTACTGCTTTAGCCTCTATGAAGGAGATACTTACATTGTCGTACTAGTAGCATTAAGTGGCCTCTTGGTCGTACGTGAGGTTGTAATGATCACACTGACAGGTTAACTGTGACACATATGTGTATAGTCATCAACGATGATAAACTTTGTATTCTGATCTTAGTATTTAGAAGATTTTGATGAGATAATGTAGAAAACGAGGCCAGGACGGGAGAGTGGGAGGTAGCCAGCTAGCCCAGGGAGGTGGACGACGGCCGGGGTGAGGCTCTGCCCTGCACCGTAAACACAGCGCCAGCATGCACTATCAACAGCGCCTGAGGTTTCTCTGCATCCCAAAGTAACAAGCTGATGGAGGCTACACCAGACGAATGTTCGCCCGCCTTCTGCCTGCAGTGGCGCTCTTTTTACGGTACGAGCAATCAGCCGCTGTTTGGGGACACCCGGTACCTCTGCCTCGTCCCTGGTGCTCCCCCTACTCTCCAGGATTTTAAATCATTTCTTAATCCCTAAAGCCAAATTTGGGGTAATTTTATAGGGGAATATAAGACAGGTTTTACATGATAACGCGGTGGATCATTTATATGCTAAACAGGACTCGCCATTACCTTCAGAAGTGACGTGGACACCCAGGCAAGTAAGCGTTTAATCTACTTTCCTCAACATCAATTTCCAGGTACCCGAATATTTTCAGGGGGATAGAGTAAAAGTTTCAGGAAAAGAGCGTCTTAAATTGTTTGTTTATATTCACCCGAAATATATTGGTCGTTAGGCGCGTCGTTTTCAGTCAGAGAAGTACAGTACAGTACAACATTCTGTCTGCCCTGTCGAGCAAGTATGTAACAGACCAGTTGTCAGAATCAGTCAGAATTTCCTCGGACACTGAAACAACTGTGAATGTCGAGGCTTACTGAGCGACCAGCGGTGGAGGCGTGAGGGCGTTTTAAGACAATTTATGTAAAGCTTCTTATCCTTTTGGGTCCGGATTCTCAGAGTTTCGTACGGTGAATATAACTCACTACTGAAGGTGTGAGAAAATAACGGTCTGGTGAACTTAAACTAAAATACAATAATTACTGTACATCCACAAGACTAACGCAGAAATCATATTGAAATTATTTAACTTGATAAATAAGTTGCTTTAGCAGTAGTTTGGGAACAACTTTAACTATCAACTGTTTTATGGTGTTATTTTGTCTCCTAAGAGGTGCTAAGTGAAAGTATCTAGTTAAGGAAGGGCCTCAGCAATATCTTTGTTATTATTGGGCGATATTTTTTATTTTAGCTTTATGTTAACCAGTTAGGTGCATTTTTACACCTTTAGTTACGAGTGATATTCACCGTAAGAACCTTCGTGCATATGGACGCTGGGCACTATAGCATTCTGCTGCCTTGATAGTTTTCATGACTAGTATCGCAAATATCATGAGTGAGTTTCACATTTACAGCCAGACTTAAACAATGTGCTAACAGTCTCAGCTGCGTATATTAGTAGATAGAACCATTGAGGCCGTTCTTGTGAGCAGATGAGGTCAAATGACAAGACGCCGGTAACAATAATATAAAGTACTGATCAGATGGTATTAAATAACAAGGTGACTTTTCTTCGTATTATAAGTATAACATCTGCACATAAGAACGGACTTGCCATTTATTTACTTGATCATTTTTGTCAATATTCTACCGTTCCTCAACATGAAAAAAATGGTGTGTGTGTGTGAGTACATTACAGGTGACTAATTAAATTTCTTGAAATGACTATATTTCTCATGTTACGATTGTCTATTGTGGTTGACGGTTAATAGTTTCGTATATCCAGGTATTGTAATACTAACTTACCTGTCTTGACACAAACATATAAGGGATTGAAGCACCTAAATGAATGAAGCACTTAAATGAATGAAGCACTTGAAGGAAGCACTTAAATGAATGAAGCACTTGAAGGAAGCACTTAAATGAATGCAACTACCAGAAATCAAAACATGAGCCAAAAGAAAAAGAAATAATATTTTTTTTTTAGTTAGGTCCCGAAAATTTGTATATATTAACACGTATGGAACATGTCTGTGTTTTGGCCACTCAGCTGACCGCACACGGTAGAGTACAAGCTCGTCTCGTCCACAACTGAACCAAAACATGAATGAACACAGTGATTCAACCCCTTACCTGCGACAGACTTTAAAGAACTCAGTTAAAAGGCCCATAGTCTAGCACAATGTGTATTATTGGTGTGTGTGTGTGTGTGTGTGTGTGTGTTCAAAGCGACCACGACACTGATTTTTAGGTCCACAGACATAATATAATTGTTTTCACACACACACACACACACACACACACACACACACACACACCAAAAAACAAGTATATCGTGCCATGTTTGCGCCTCTAAACTGACGCCTTAACTCACCAGAATAGAGAGTAAGTCTGTCGTCCTGTCGGGGTTAACTCCATAGTGTTAGTGAATATAGTCAATATATTTTTAGATCTTGAACTTGGATAATTTAAAGAGTCTCATTTCCTTGATAATATAATGTTAGGTAAGTAGGTCATTATTATACATAGGTTTGGGTGATTCGCTTCAAGGGATCACGAGCGGGGGGAGGTGTGTCAAAGGTAGGGTCAGGCCACTCCAGGGACGTGGGGGGAGGATGTCCCAGGGGGTCTGTCCCAACTCTTACCTCGTTATCCCACTCGCTTTGTTTATCACACTTCTCTCGTGTCTACTTTTTTTATTATTATTATTCAGCAGTATCCCAATTACAATCCTCGTCATGTTTCCAATCACCCACTTCTAACTTAGAGTGAACAAAGTATCATGTATATAAAGAGCAATTTCCATTAACAAGGCCTTATGTACTAGTTATAAAGTTCTCTTTCCTACTTCATGTGTCCACTTTGAAACAATTATTAATACTATACAATAGATTTATTATTTTATTATTATTATTATTACTGCTATTATCAATATCATTATTAATATTATTAAGAAATATTAATAATATTATTATGACTATCATCACTACTTACATCATCAATAAGTATGATCATTACTTTCATTATATTCATTGCAATTATCACCCTAAGTTTCATGCCCACATTATCCTTAATTATCAATATGTATCCTATTCCATTTTTTGTTAGTCCTTGTGTTGTTTGTGTTTCCTCTCGCTCCTCCTTTTTCCTGTTTGTGTTCCGGCGACTCTGCCACAACCCGGCTACTGTAAATACTCAACCAAGACTTAAATACTAGCGGCACAGTGTTTCTCTCCCAAAGTCTTGAGTGTGTGTGTGTGTGTGTGTGTGTCTAACCATGTACGTCTGTGTGCATAATTACGCACCTTCGTTTGTATATGTGTCTTGTGCTTCTGCGCCCAACATAAGGGTCAATTTTACGCCGCAAAGAAATGATCCATGAAGCTATTGAAAATAACATGAGTACCGCCCCCGAGGCAATGTCCGGCCAATCATTTGTCGGGTTTCTTCGCGGGGCTGCATTTTAATTGGACATTAATGGTCTGAGCACCTGATTGGTATCGCTAGTTCAGATTTTTTTTTCTGTATTTATTTCTCTATAATGAAAAAAAAATGTTTTATCATTTCCAGGAATTTTGTCTTTTATTGGCAGAACATATTTAACTGGAAGCTTAAAATAGACCTGGTTATATTATCACTTAGTAGGTCAGGTTAAAGTTGTTGTTGTTATTTTAATTAACACTTTTAAAAGTTCCTACCAATTAAGGACTTTTTAATTCGCTTTAACGCTAAACTTCTCACCAGTTGTCTGAACACTATGTTCTGACTCTCAGCTCTGACGTGAATTTTAGTTCAAAAAAAATTCATTTTCCAAAGATTTTCGTCACTTTTCTAAATTCCTACCACGGATCTTCTGAAACAGGCGTCTACCGGTCTTGTTAGTCAGAAAAAACTATATAGTCAGGTTAGTGAGAGTTGAAAAACATGTTTTAACTGGCTAGCTGGAGCTGTTCTAACTAACACCTTCACGTATGACTCGGTTACTTGTTGTCGACTCCCCAGAATTATCCTGAAACAAACTGGTCGAAGAGCTGGCTGTTCGATACAGACAGATGGACAGACACCCAGACAGATAAAGATACACCTTAGGTAGACAGAGATACATCCAGAGGCACAGAAAAATACATAGACAGACAGACAGACAGACAAATTTATCTTTTTAATGTTAGGTCTGTTCAAGAGTATAATTTGTCCTTCTACTGGGTAAGATTTGTGTGTGTGTGTGTGTGTGTCAATGTCTCAACAAATATTTCAAGAACCAGTTGCAAAATATTCATCATTCTCAGATAATTTTTGTCCCACTAATAGAAAAAATCATTAGATACCAGTTAATATAAGTCAAAGTTAGAAGCTTTTACGCCATGATACACGTCATACGGCCCGCAAAGCAGAAGCCCTTTGACTCGTTGGAACGCTGGTGCACGTACGCCTCTCGGGGGAGGGGCCAGTACAAATCTTATTTAATTTAGATAAATTATTATTTCCATATTGAGTTCAAATAATGTATGATTCGTTGATTTTGTTACCTTTTCACGATGGAAAACCCTAAGAGAATATCAATAACACAATAAAAGAAGACTATTGATAGTTCATCAAGAAACTGAAGATTACTTTGACTGACTAAAAGAAGGCAATTGAGAAGCATTTTTCCAAATGCAAGATAAAAAATACAACTTAGAATATAGATCCCAGTTATCGTGTGCTCGTGTGATGTTTGCAGGTGAGCTGTATGACTGCCGTTCTAGTAAGGTTTCTAAGGGAGAGAAACTCTGTACACTGCATCCTTTATATCATATTGATGGTATTTATAATCTGATCTCTACAGCTTCCTTTTTAGCTCTAAGGAACTCGTGCTTTGTTTATTAGCATAATTAGCTGACATTTCCGGAGCCCGAGGCGAGGGTAATATGTAAACTTGGGCGCCTATGAACGGCGGTAATTGGCTGAGAAGCGGAGGTGGAAGTAGCCAATGGCAGCAGGCCCTCGTGCAACCAATAATAGCTAGGTTTTCATATGGTCTCAGCCAATGATCGTCAGTCCTCTTTGTCACTTGTAGCGCGTCAAACCGCATAGCAACCTACTTAAAGATCTTCTTCCTTATTATAGAGTGCAGGGTTACCTAAGATCTTTGCCATTATCCACATTTTAAGACGAGTAAGGTCTTATTTGGCGCACACACACACAGGGAAGGAAATCAAATTATTTCCCCGGCATATGTGTGTTTCTCATTCCCTCGGTAGTCTTTAAGCCGAGTCAATACTGTCCTTGTGGCAGGTAGTATAAGGCCTAAAGTGACGTGCCTTTATCCTGGTTGAGGCAGGAAGAGAGTTACGTATGATCTGACTTGTAGATTTGATATATTTTAGTATACTCATGTGTTTTATACTCGTGACGCTTGTGTAGGGAGAGAGAGATAGTGAGAGTGAGTGAAAGCTAATTAGAGAGAACGAGGTGAGAGAAGAAAGGGGAGAGAGAGTGTGTGTACATAAGAGAAATGGGAAAGTGAAAGAAACGGGGAAGGTGTAAGGGAGAGAGATTGGATGTGAGAGAAAGAGAGTGAGGAGGGGCAATTACATTAAGGGAGAGAGATAGGAGGGGATTGAGAGAAAAAGAGTCCATACGCGCATGAGTAACACTAGACAGCTACATGAATGAAGGTTGTTGCAGCATTTCAACAAACAAAATAATACCTTTATTCATAAAATGCTCACACACACACACACACACACACACACACACACACACCTCTGCAGCACCTCCAGAACTCAACACGTAAATCAACACTAACAAACTGTACCTAATTGAAAGCTGCAACAGCCTGAAGATTGTGAATTACGTCACTATATCACGCAGTTATATTGGCTTGTGTAGCGGTGTAAGAGAAAGATGCACATTCCAGGGTCATCTCAGGTGATTCAGTGCTGGTGGGGACGGTACAGGGTTGAGGTAGTCAAGTGGTGTACAGGAGACGTGAAGAACCTTCTTTTTACCGGGGCCAAAACAACCATCAGTTTAATATCAATTGTGTACTTTTAAGGTGACTTCTGACGCAAAAATTCACCTGGATTTATATTTTTAGGTGAATTATCATCCGGATTATTATTTATGAATCACCTTAAAAGATTCACAGTGATATGGCGAGTGTTTTTTGTAAGTCCATTAAACATACTGGTAACTTCTCCCTGTAAGACATTAAGCTTGACCTTACGAAACAGTATCGTGCCACCACACTTGAACCCCTGAGAGGACCCCCCTTAAACAACCAGCAGCAGTAGTTGGGTAGTTAGGTATATAGATGCACGGTTAACTAGGAAGTTTGTATCCAAAAAAAAAAAATTCGTGGAAAATCAAGCCGATATTTTGTAATATATGTAAGTTACAGTAGATTAATAAATGACCATGTATCAAAATGTCACTTGACGTGTTTTAATCACCCTGGTGTTGTGGCTGTGGTTTATGGTAGTTATTACTGATGGTTAACATTCCCAGGAGTTGTTGAATGAATAATAGAATGTAAACAGAAGACAGAAATGATCCAAAACATAGGTTGACATTTATTAAAAAGCTATAAAAAGAAGTCAACAAAAAGGTGTAATATATAAAACTATAAATAATAATAAGATATGGTGAGAAATAAAATTACTATACGGTATATACCAAGTGTTCTTTATTCATCCCTTTTGTGTGTGTGTGTGTGTGTACAGAAATTAAAAAAAAAACTCCCACTGACCCAAACACACAAATCTTTATAACTTAATCCACTGTGACGCTGGTGTGAAGGGTGTGACTTCATAAACACTGTCAGATATAAGTCCTCATATAACTCAGAGAGACGTACAGTACTACATGATACACACCTTAAGATGCCTCAACACAACTCGGTAATGAACGGGCTATGGTGTTACATGACTTTGTGTTGCAACAGTGAAACTATCTAAATCTGTGTTGTTAAAATAGACTTAAAAAGCTGAGACTACTAAGATACCCAAATATAAGGTGGACTGGAAATTCATTAAAAAAAAATAATGGATGGCTGGATATATCTTTTGTTTGAGAAATTTGTGGAAAATCTTATGAACAGGAAGCAATACTAAGGAGTTATTTTACAACTACAATGTAATGAAAATAAAAAGGCATCAAATATATTTATCCAGGTAATCAATAATAATCACTTAAATAAGGCATGTTAAATTATCTTGACGGAACACGGCACTAACACAAAGATAATTAATCAAGATATTATTAAAGAAGATATATAGTAAAAGAGAACCGAAAGCAACGAACATAACCGAAAAAGAAACGTTTAGAATATAATAGTTGAAGAGACAAGACAAACACGGCAACAGTAGATTGTTTACTGCACTCTGGTCCTCCAGCTGTCATACACAACCAATAGGTATGAATTCTGGGAACGATGGCGGCCATTTGATTGGGTGTTCGCGGAAAAAACACATACGCATCGCTGACTCCATATGCCTGTTGTCTGTGTACTCGAATACATTGGAACTAGTTTGGTGGTTTTATTGACAGTCACGGTCTCCGTCACTCTTGAAACTAATGGTCTTTTAAAATCTGGGAAATTTCAGCTACTCTGCAATGACTACGTGATTTAGGTCTAATGTTTAGTGGCAGAACAAGCGACCCTCACGGTGAGTTACCTCTTTATAATCAGGAATTAACCTGTGATCAGGTAAATCATATATCCGAAGGTTTAAGTAAGGTTGAGCAAAGTTAAGGTAGTTTGGGTTAGATTAGTTTTTGTCAGATCAAACCTGAATGTAATTTAAACAAAACAGTGTTCCGTTTATATAAAAAAATATATACCTTTGAAAAAACTGAGACACACACAAAAAACACTCATACCAATTCCAAAAAATTACTATTATTATTGTTAATATATATATATATATATATATATATATATATATATATATATATATATATATATATAATAGGAAAAGAAAACACGAGTTCCCAAGCGCTTTCGTGTAATTCATCTTCAGAATACACGAAAGCTAAAACTTTCGTGTATTTATATATAACGCACCTACAGTGATTTATTTGCATATATATATATATATATATATATATATATATATATATATATATATATATATATATATATATATATATATATATATATATATATACACATATCTTCAGGGGTGAGTACAGACTTAGGAGAAATACATAACAAGGCAAATATATATACAGTTGAGGAAGGTGAGATCAAGTCCACAATAGTCAGGTTATTAGGTAGTGACCCTACTAATCTTCAAAAAGCACCGCAGCAGTCGGTAGTCAGGTCAGAGGGTAAGCTGACCCAACCTTCTCACTTGGTTACAAATCTTCTTAGTTATGAAATTATCCAGTTTGTACCTACCATAATAGAGTCAAACAGTCAGTATTTCCATCAATGTTTTTACGTGCTTTGAGAATTTGCAGCCTGGAATTCATTGATGAGGAATATAAATATATCTATAATATTGGCTTGAACCTTAAATACCCTAGATCTTTCATAGACAAATGCCTGAACATTACTAAGAAATTTTTTTATAGAACCGATCCCAAGCCCATCCATGACCACAAGAATCTCTTAGTATTAGCATTTCACAAACATTTCTCTCAAATTCCTTTACAATGAAAAACCTGGAACGTCAATGTGGCATTTAAAAACTCGTGCACTGTTAAACAAATGTTAATCAAGAACTCCCCCAACAATACAGGTGGCTGCATTTACAAGGTTACATAAGAACATAAGAATGGCGGAAACTGCAGCGGGCCTATTGGCCCATACTGGGCAGTCCCCTTTACACCCAACCCCTATTGCTCATATAAACATCCAACCTATGTTTGAAGCTATCCAGCGTATTCGAGTTAATGATGATATTTGGTAACTTGTTCTATTCATCCACTACTCTGTTTCCAAACCAGTGTTTGCCTATTTTGCACTTTAATCTAAATTTGTCTAATTTAAAACCATTGTTACGAGTTCGCTCCTGGTTGGATAGTTTGAGTACCTTTGTAATGTCCCCTTTGTTTAGCCCTGGTTTCCATTTATACACCTCTATCAAGTCGCCCCTCGCTCTACGTCTCTCGAGGGAGTGCAAATTAAGATGCTTTAACCTGTCTCTAAACTCAAGGTTCCTAATGCCCGGGATTAGTCTTGTCATTCTCCTCTGAATTCTTTCCAAGGATTATATATCCATTCTGTAATACGGTGACCAGAACTGAACTGCGTAATCCAGGTGTAGTCTCACAAGCGCAAGATACAGTTTTAGGATGACCTCGCTAGTCTTGTAACTAACACTCCTTTGCATGAACCCAAGTACTTTATTAGCCTTGTTACGAGCAAAAGCACATTGTTTACATGGCTTAAGGTTCCTACTTATCATTACTCCTAAATCTCTCTCGCAGTCGGATTTCTCAATGGCATCGTTGTTCATCTGGTAACTGGTTTCCCTGTTTACATCTCCTATACTGAGTACTTTACCTTTGTCCACGTTGAATTTCATTTGCCATTTTTCAGACCATTCGAAAATTTTTTTTAGATCTTCCTGTAGTTTTGCGGAGTCCTCGTCAGATTTAATAACACGCCCTATTTTAGTGTCATCAGCAAATTTAATTATGTTGCTGTCTATGCCGATATCTATGTCGTTTAAGTATATAATAAATAATAATGGTCCAAGTACTGAGCCTTGGGGGAGTCCATTAGTGACGTTGCTCCAATGGGATTTAGTGCCGTTAATGCTCACTCGCTGTTTCCTGTCCTGTAACCAAGCCCTAATCCATTTAAGGATATTACCTTTGATGTCATGTGCTTCTACCTTTCTAATTAGTCTTTCGTGGGGAACTTTGTCAAAGGCTTTGCTAAAGTCGAGATATACCACATGAACGCCCGCTTGTGAAGCCATGCTGGGAATCATTGATCAATCGGTGCTTCTCCAGGTGATTTCGAATAGAGTTTGAAATGATTGCTTCCCGTAATTTGCCTACTATTGATGTTAAACTGATTGGGCGGTAGTTAGAGGATAGTGATCTATCCCCCTTCTTGAAAATCGGTATTACATTCGCTATCCTCCAGGACTCTGCTACTACACCTGCTTTTAAGGACAGGTTAAACAACTTTACTAAGGGCATACTAAGCTCTTCCTTGCATTCCTTTAATACTCTGGCAAATATCTCATCGGGACCAGGTGACTTATTAGGCTTTAGTTTGTCTATTTGCTTACTAGCATCGTTACTAGTCACTACTATCTCGCTTAATTTGTTTTCTTCACTATCTCTGAATAGAGTCGGTGCCTCGGGTATCATGTTTACATTTTCGGTGGTAAAAACTGTTGAAAAATATTCATTCAGATTATTGCTCATTTCTCCGTCGTTATCAGTTAGCTCACCGGTATCTGACCATATTGGTCCAATCTTTGCTCGTGTTTTAGTTTGATACATTTGGTAGAATCCTTTGGGGTTTGTCTTTGCCTCCCTTGCTATCCTTACCTCATTATTCCTCTTAGCTTTCCTAATCTCGGTTTTAACCCTACTCGCCAATACCTTATAATATTCCCGGAGGTAAATTTCGCCACGATTTATCCTTCTACTTATAGCCTTCCTTTGGCCAATGATGTTCTTCATATAATTATTTATCCATTTAGGGTCATTGTTGTCTCATCTGAGTTTTTTGTATGGTATGTTCTGCCTTTGTGCATTAAGTAACTCATTATTTAAATTGTCGTGGAACTCGGCAATCTCAGATCTCGTTATCAGGTCAGTCTCAACCGTTGGGTCTCCTGGTACCTTGAGGTCACCCTCTGTGGGTGCATTGAGTGAGGTCACCTCATGCGAGGTCATGTAGCTCACCCCCAAGCGCGACACCCCCTCCCTCAGCTGCCTCTTTAAATTGTCAAAGTTTGCCCTTCTGAAATCTGGTACTTTAGTGGAATTTTCCTTACGTCTGCCCTGAAAATCTAACTGGAATCTAATTTCTTTGTGATCGCTGTTTGCAAGCTCGTTCCTTACCTCGACATTGCTAATGAGGTTTTCTCTGTTCGACAGAACTAAATCGAGTATATTATTACCCAGGGTGGGTTCGGTTATATGTTGACTTAGGAAACAGTCCTGGGTCGTTTCGAGAAAATCCTCTGATTCTAAGTTACCCGTAAGGTCAGTCCAATCTATTTGGCCAAGGTTAAAGTCGCCTACTATACAGACTTTGTTGTATATGGAAGCCCTGCGCATTTCATCCCAGATAAGTCGCTCATTTACTCTATCAAGATTGGGAGGTCTATATATTACTCCTGTGATTAATTTTTCCCTACCGTCGATTAATTCTATCCAAATTGTTTCTGTATTCCGCTCAGTTTTTATTTCCTTATTAATTTCACACTTCAGATTATCCCTGACATAGATTGCTACTCC